CAGGAGGTGATAAGGTACTATGGTTTGAGCAGATCTCTGTCTGCCGATCCCTCATAACACTTTCCCCAGCTCTGCCAATAGTAGCCAGAGGAACTGAATTTAGAAGTCACCATACTTTTTGGATTTTTTCCCCATCAATTAACTGATAGGCAAGAACATGGATAGTTTCTCACTACCTTCACGCAGCTCATCGTGGTGAGAAAAATACTTGAAAGAAAAATACTTTAAGAGTAAGACCTTGCCTCACTGAAACAGTGAAATCAATACACATGAATATATTTTTAAACTTCTGTAAAAACTGAAAGCAAAGGAATATATTGCACTGCATCTAGGGCTTTGCTGCTTAAAAGCAGAGCTGGAGGTTTCCTCATGCGTTTTGTTAAAGTGCTGCTATGTATCTGGCTGCCTTGCAGTTTGGACTGTATACACTCATTTCAACACTGTAGTTTGGTCTTTCCAGTTTTCAAAACTAAACCAAAATTTCACTACAATATTTTCCAACAAATAGAAAATCTATTTTGCCAGTAGGTAAGACATGCTGCTAAAATGCTACTATCAATTGTGTATCTGAGACATGGATAGTAAAACTCATGGCTATTAAAAATACTGAGTCTGTGGTCATGACAGGCAATGAATCCTTTTTTATTTTCTCCTTCTCTCCTCTTGAATCTGAACACAGAAATTAGCTGGAAATTGTTGCTAGTGAAATATTATTCTCTGCAAATGTAAAAAGAAAGTAATTTTGGAGCTTGCCAAGCATAAATTAGTAGCGACTTGAATAAAGAGTTATCAGCTATGGCAGGGTGCGAAAGGCTTCATCTAGATTTAATGAGAATGGGCTTGTACATCCAAACACAGCAAAATTAGACCTCATTAATATCTTGAGGTGGAATATTTTCTCCTTAGCATGTAAGATAGCAAACCTCCAGATCCCAAATTTGAAGAGTAATTATACAAAACAAGTTAATTACCAGTACCTGGAAAAATTAATTTCCTAGCAGACATATTCTTTTATCATTCTGATATTTTAAAATAAACTGTCAAATACATGGAGCTGTGCTTTTTGGTGTTCAGGTTCTCTTCATGCTAATTTTGAATTTCTTACAAAACCGTTGTCATTTTGTATGTTATATTGTTCAGAAAGTCATGATTCCTTAACTTACAGGAGACTTTGCTTGCTTGCTTGGTTGGTTGATTGGTTGCTTTTTTTGTAGTTAAGGATGGGCATTGACGAAGGCCATTGCTGTGAGGTTTCCTGTTAATAGCGCCTGTGGAAAAAGTTGGTTTTATTAAGGCATTTATAAAGTATTAGTATTCATGATGTCTTAATGATCATACCTATTAAGAAGAAAGTGTCTATATCCGCAAATGTTCTGGGATATTGAAGTAGTAGGGATGAATGACCGCTGCAGAGGGATTTAGATATACCAGTGATGACAACTGACCATGGAAAAGGAAAAGCCAATACTTTTATAAAATAATAATTATTTCTCCCATAGCAAAGCTCTGAGGGACTTAGGAGGGAAGAGGAGGAGGGCCTGGAAGCTGTACATGTTGTGCAATTCCTCTAGGGTCCAGTGGACAACAGTTTCCAAAGGCTGGGTTTTGATTGTGTGCTGATGGAGTCTAGGGCAGGGTGCCACTCACATCTCTCCATGCCTTCCCTATTTGTAAAATATGTAAGTCATAGTATTTTGATGCCTATCCACATCGATTGAAGGTGTTCATGTAGCCCATACTAAGTGTCCTTCCTATGGCTTACCCAGACATACCACTAGACGTTTCAGTCAGCATGTCCAAGAACTACAACATCTAGTCATTATAAGGATACTTGAAAAGCTTCCTTGACCGGCTCCAGCTTTAGTCCCTAGAGGAAAGGCTGTTAAATAATTTGCTCTAAATTCCTGTCTATCACAAGCCACCGAACGGCTCCAAGCTACCCAGTCCTTGACAAGAATTCAGCCTCAGTGCTTCGTATATTAACTAAAACCATCAGATTTTATTGGTTCCTCTTTTGCACAGAACACTTTCATACCTACACAGGGTAGAAGCTGGTTGCTTGCTCATGCTGACAATAGAAATAAGGTACTGTGAAGGATTGAGCCATGGCAATGGGCTCTTTAAATACCTGTGTGACTTTTGTCTGTGTGTATCTGGATTTTATTATTAAGTACTTTTTTAATGATCAGCAACAAAGTAAATAGGTTCATTGCACTTGAAGAGGAATCTCTTCTCAAGTGACAGATCATTGCTCCTGCTCAAATTATTGTGAGTGGAATGAAAAATACCACTAGTAAAAGGCCAGCGCTTTTCATTGATCTGAATGTTCCTCTTTTAACAACTCTGGCAGCATCAAGAAGCCTTAAAGTGGGAGTAAATTATATTGGTATGTTTTAGTTTAAACTTGAATTTAAATGGGATTTTAAGCCAACTTTAAAGCCAACTGTTTGTAAAGAGGGCCTTGATAGAATTGGGAATTGTGCCCAGAGCAAACACATTGCCTGTTTGGCAGTGATTAGCAATGTGTTAACAATTTAGTATTCTAAATAGATGGTAAGTAATTACTAATACTTAAATATACTTTCAGACACACCAGAGCAGGTTTAGAAATTTGCTTTAATAAATTTCAGTCTGCTAGCAAGGAAGCTGTAGGAGACTGTAAAGGGCTTTGCAGAGGTATCCTAATGGGTAGCTCATCGGCTGAGAGTTCACAATTCTTGGGGACGCTTTTCACCACAAAGTCTTGGGGTGGGGAGTTTTCTCTGTGAAGAGGTGGTGACAAGCCTTTGTTTTGAGACACCTGAAACTGTGAGGAGAACAAAACACTGGGGAATATATAGTACAGCACGAAGTAGCCAGGAATGGATGGTTAAACCACAACAGATTGCCTTAGTAATTTCTAGACCTTGACTTTCCTTGTTTGAACTGTATAGGGTTACACACTTACTCTTTAAAGGACTCACATCTTGTCACCAGGAAGGGCTTCTGGACCACATGTGCCCAAGCAGGGTCATATTCTGGCTGCTGTTGCTAGCCTGTAAATTACCTCATTTGTTTCTGTGCCTGAGCTACTGCGCACTGCTTGACCCCCCATGTAGAGCTCAGATTTTCTGTGAAGTGACCCTGTTAGAAAAGGCACATCTTTGCTCTGTCACTGGGCTGGTTTGCACCCTTCCTGCACCACAGCCATGGCTGGTGTGTTAAATGTCATCCAGAGTTTGCTCTGCAGGGACTGGAGAGTACAGAAGAAAATGAACCTTTACCTTCTGCGGGTTTTGCTATGAGCTAAGGTACCCCACCTTTCCATTATCTCCGTAAGAGTGACCTGAATGTGTCTACTGGATTAGCATCACTGCATTGCATTAATCCCTTTTCTTTCTTGATTGATCTTCATCAGATTTTTCATCATATTTTCAGATTTTGAATTAATTTGCAGATTTTTTTTTTCTTATTTGCCAAGGAAATGGAGATCAGGAAATGGAAACTTGGCAGTATCTTCCCCATAAAATTTTCCTTCCTTTCTCACTGTGATGACAAATATTTGTGCATGGCTAATGGGAGAAAGACTAACATTATGAAGCTTCATTTGTACTCGTCCAACTTCTAGGTCCCACGGTGACTCCATGTAGAGCAAAAGCATGTGCCAAAAGGTGTAGGTGGAAAATCACTGCAGAAATATCCCAATTGTTTGACTGTGTGGGCCAGGGCAACGTCATGCGAACTATAGTATGAGACCCGAAAGACCACATAGCAGGCAACAGACAGACCTAAGATCCTCATGACTACTTTAGGATTCGCAGAGAGCACTTCTTCTGAATATAGTAGTCTGGACACTGTAAAGAATGGATAATGGTGTTTGTCAGAGTTATAGGAAGAGGTGTTAGTTTGCCAGAGGAAATGCATGACTCTTACTTTATATTTTTTTTTATTATTATTTTTGGGTTTTTTAAAATGTTATAACCATAGTGTAGGTTCGTTGCTTAGGACTGGGATTCTGTCAGGGAGCTGAACTACAAGTGTGTTGTGTTACAGGGGTAGAGACAAGTAAAACATTTTTCAGAGGTGGGTGAACTTGTGCATCAAGACATTCGCAGACATTTAGGCAGATTTTGGATTCAGAGGTTATCTTTCCTGTCTCTAATCTCATCTCTATTCAAGTCAAAGGGCTGGAACATTGTAAGACAACAGTTGTTGTGGTATTAGTGGAATTGCAAGAAGAAACAAAGTGGCTCAGTCATTCTCGTGAGGTCCATGATGGTGTGCTAGGCCTGTGGGTTTCAGATCATCCTCACAACACAGAGATTGATGACTGTATGTCTTGTGAGGGTGGTGGGCTCACAGCCCTGCTCCTGGTTCCCTCGTGCATTTATAGGATTCCATGTTTTGGTTGCGAGACCCACACAAATGTACACAAACCTGAGGAAGATGAGGCCAAATGGGGCCACATGTCATGTGCTTTCACACTGCAATACAATGACCTTTATCTTTCTCGGTAACACAAAGGGCAGTGACTGCTGCCTGCGGAAGCCTTTGGGCAGCCAAGAGGCACTAAAGCCATCTCTCCACAAGCAGGCACAACAGCTATGAGGGGGCACAATCCTCTGCCAGAGCCAAGCACCACAGGGTGACACAGGCTGGAGATGTCACACCTTCTTCTCATGTATCAAAGGGGTCTTGACTTGTGCCTGTGTTCCTACATGGAGAGACACCTCTGTTTAGAGCAGAGAGGTCTGAAAAAGGCTGAGTGCCAGCAGGCTGGGGCTATGTGGTTTGGGTGCTAGTCCAAGCTGCAGGGCACTTGCCCTCAGCTGGTATCTGAAGAGGTTTACAACAGAGCAGTGACCGCTCCTTTTTCATGGCTCTTTGACATGACATTTATTACTTGGTTTCCTTGTGGTCTCTTCAGACTTGAGGGGATTTTAACTGAAGACTAATCACCACAGGGTTCAGAGCCCCCTTTTCTCTGGAACACTCTCCAAGCTGTATTTCTCTGTTTGTAGGCCACTGCCCAGACCTCCACCTCCATGAACCCCACCATCCCCACCGCAACAGAGGCCTACACGAGGACTCAATACTGTAAGTGGCCGTGCGAGTGTCCGAAGTCCCCACCTCGGTGCTCAGTAGGCGTCAGCCTGGTCACAGATGGCTGTGACTGCTGCAAGATGTGTGCCAAGCAGCGTGGAGAAAGTTGCACTGAGGCCGACACCTGTGACTTCCACAGGGGCTTGTACTGTGACTACAGTGGAGACAGACCTAGGTACGAAATAGGAGTATGTGCACGTAAGTGATGTACATATATTTTTGGCTTAGATATACATTGACAGCTCCCCTGAGTCTGAGCAATGGCTGAGATTTATGTCGTTAGATACCTGAGTGTATGCTCATCAACTCCTCCATTCATCATCTTCCATTTCCTTAAAGCTGTCTTCATTCTTAGGGCAGTTGGCTGGGTGAGAAATTACATCTGAATTCTTGCTCTTTGAGTTGGCTGCAGTCAAGAGCAAGGAGCAACCAGCATTTGCAGGTCTTCATATTTGCAAGTAGATGATTCTGTATTCCCCATAATAGGAGAAGGTGCTATAGTGGCTTGGGAATGAAGGTAGGATAGGTATGCAGCTGGCTTTAAAGACAAGCAATATGGGTGTCTACATGAAAACCATGACATTAAGGAGGTACTTTTGGCTTATTCCCAACAGTGGATCCCTAGGAAGGATAGCATATACTATCCTGTCAAGAGGGTCAGGGATGAATCCTGACAAAGGGATGACTCCTAGCAAAGTTTCTTGGCGACAAATTGAGGTCTGAGCCTTAATCTTACAATGGTTTCAGTCATGTTTGGTGCTGTGAAGCTGAAGGATTTCTTCCTGCCTGTTGTAACAACCTCTTGGTGGGATAATCCATGTGACTGGAATGTTTTTGTTCAAGAAGAAGAGGAAAAATAAATGAGCTAGTGTTTTGTGTGTCACGGATACATTCACTTGTTCTGAGATACAGAATCTGATCCACTCATAAATGTCATAAATGACAGAAAATCTTTACTCTGAGAATGATTAAAAGGGAAAGGATCATGAGTACAACCACACAGATAGTGGATCAGAAAGCATGCTGAGTGTTTAGCAAGTTGTGAGAACATATTGGTTGTAGCTTGAGATTCATAAACAGGAAAAAGCCATTTTAGAAGGAAAGTTTTCTAGTCTGGAATATCACCATGAATGAGGTACTAACAGAAAATTTAAAAATGGAAGGAAACCTGGAGGAGAGCTGATTGTGAGATGAACAGATAGAACAACTGATCCACAGGAAAGAGAAAAGATTGCAAACAGTGGGCTTCAACAAACTTAGAAAATCAGCAGAACTTTCACAAAGGGTAGGTCTGCGGGATAAAGAGGCTCAGGGTGGCTGGCAGTTTCTTACTGAAATGATATTAGGGGTGGCTGTTCCTCAGCAGAAGGATGGGAAGTGTAGTGAGAAATGAACTTGTATTTGAATTAGCTCAGCCACAAAAAAACAGCAGGCACAAAGTGCAGTCTAACCAGATTTTTGTAGGATATGGGCAAAACAACAAGAAAAGGTATGTGTAAGGAGCCATAAGCTTCAACAGTGATTTACAAGATTAGAAAAGATTCAAGGTTAAGAAAAGAGGATATGAGATCATTCAAATGTATTATCTGGAGTGTCTGTGGAGCATTCATGGGAGGTCTGTAAGAACAGGTTAGACAAACATTTGTCAAGAATGACATTGTTACAGCTGGCTCTGCGTTGGGAGAGGAAAAGAATGTGGATGTTGTCTCAAATCTACCTCAGCCTTCCTATGGCCTGTTTGAAGACCTTCATGTTGCTTCACATTTATTTATTTAAATGCTTACCTCCTTAATTTAAATTTTTTTGTATTTGTCGTTCTCCCATACATCACAGGCATTCAGTATGCCTGTGACAACAGCACTGTGATGTAGGAAGGTTGATCCCCAGCTTCCTCAGTGAGGTCTAGAAGGATCACCAGTCCAATGCACTTTTACATGCCTACTGCCGGGACAATGTATCCCCTATTATGTGACATTTATGGCTATATGGTGAGGGGCATTGTGGCATGCACAGCTGAGGGACAATGAGAAGTAGGTCTTTCCATGGTTGGGAAGTGGCTTGTCTCTGGATGCCGCAGAAAGCTGTGGTCTTCCCCTTGCTTTCAACATCCAGGTAGATGTACATGACAGGATCTGCTGACGTGTTCTTTCCTGTGCACTGGGTCATATATAGGCTGCATCACCCCACTCTGAGTACACCAGCTATTGCTCTCACCACAGGGTGAGTGAAGGCAAGAGCCGGACTCCTGTGCTGGGTGTTGGGAACTAACCGCTGTAAGGAATTTGCTTTGCAACTGGATGCCAGAAGCAAGGTCTAGAGAATACAATGCATGCAGGACTACAGAAAAAATGCAATCTGTGGAAAACAAAGATCCTGAAAGAGCTAGGAATAGATCTAGCAGCAGATTCAGCATGAAGGGGATCTTTTTGTGATGAATCTCTTGGTGTATGAGACTGCAGGAGGCTGAGTTAAGACAGTCCAGGAAGGACATGCTGGTAGCAAAACACCAGGAAATACGGCATTTTCTTAAACTGTCATAATCTGCGTGCACACCTAGAAATTCAACTGAAACCTCAGCTCCGGTTCCAGCACTAAGTGATGGCTCTTCAATACAAAGGCTGAAGCATTATCAAAATTGGAGCTGAACACAATCTGGAGATCTGGATATGTGCTTCAAATGTCAACAAGTCTCATTTTTGTGCAGAAGAAGGATTTGAATTTGATGTTTTCATTCAGCCCATCCTAAAAATAGGAGGCCTTTGCAGAATTTTAATCCAGCATTTCAATTTGTGTTAGCCCTGAAGGACCCACATTGCAGCCCCATTTCTGAACAGACTTAAAACTTGAGCAACCTGATCGATGCGTGTGCACTGCCTCCATGTGACCAAACGAGAAACTGAGGTTTGAATTTTCCATTAGAACATTTCTGCCACTGATTCCAAATAACTGTCCGTAACTTTGAAACAAATAAGTTGCTACTTTATACATCTTGTGTCTTATTTCCTGAATCAATGTCGTTCCTGTTCATGGGCAATAAAAAAGCTTGATTTTTTGTGATTTTATTTAAATATATACATCAAATACTATTTTTCATGGTTTTATAATGTATTACTTCATTTTCCAGAACTGTTCTGTGATAAACTGAGTGGGATCTAGCTTCCTAAATTTAGGAATCCGGTGCCTCTCTAGGTGCTTCTTTGCTACCTTGGCTGTCTTTCTCCTGCTGCTTCAGACAGGTGCAGGCGTTGTGCAGAGCTGTGTGATATATTCGACTCCACGTAGTCCTCTCATATGTCCCTGAAACCCTCAAATTTCAGTCAATATCTGTTTTAGTTAGTTTGATATCTCCTGCTGTGAATAAGATTTACCAGCATGCCATGAAATGATTTTTTAAGTGAGCATTTGTGGATAGAAGTCTTTTTTATTTTTTAACATCTTTTTTCCACAAAGCATGAAAAGTTTCATTGTTTTGCTGTGATTTGGAATGAAAACAGCTTCCTAGATGGTGTGACCACATTTGGCTCAGCATCACATGGAATACATCGCTCTGCAGCACAGCCATGTCTCCGCGTTGGCTCTGTTATCCCAGGGAGCAGCTTGGTAAAGAAACACATCAGCGCTGTTTGTTGCCAGCAGTATTTCAACATTGCTCTGTGTGTCTTTCTCTTTTTTTCTTTCCTTTCAGAGATTGTCGGTGTAGGATGTGTCCTCAATGGAGTCAGGTACAACAATGGGGACACATTTCAGCCCAACTGCAAATACAACTGCACGTGCATTAACGGGGCTGTGGGCTGCATTCCCATGTGCACAAACTCACGTCCTCCCCTTGTTTGGTGCCCAAACCCAAAGCTGATTAAGATGGCAGGGAAGTGCTGCGAGCAGTGGATTTGTGATGACTCCAAAAAAATCAGGAAGACATCTCCACGCCACATCTCCTCTGCAGGTATGGTGGGAGTGAGGTGGACCTGTCCTTCATCACCAGGGAACTGAAGTCAGCGTCTCTTCAACCAAAGCATCAGCTTCCACTGCCAGATCTGGCGGGCATCTAGTCTTTGTGTGAACAAGTCACAGAGACTCTTATACAGCATGTAGTGAAGGACAGGACATGCAAACACCAGTGGTGTGCTTGAACTCCTTAGTAGCAATATGAGATTCATCAAACATGATTGTGTGACAAAGCCCCTTTTGAAGCACACATCTGCTGGTGCTTCGAAGATGTCACAAGTCCTTTTTACTTCATCATTTTCTTTCAGTCGGGGCCCTCTGGAAAACAGAATGGGCTCAGTTTGTTTTAGGACTGAGGGTTTATGTCTGGGTTATATTACTTTAGTAGTATGATTTTAAAACCCCTGTGTCTTAGTAGTCCCAAACTTAGATAACACCTGGAAAACAATTATTATGGTGGAAATTTCACTGCCGGGTGTAAAATTGGGCTAACTTGTCTTTATGTTAGTGGCCCTGGTTTCAGCTAGGATAGAGTTAATTTTCTTCCCCGTAGCTGCTGTGACTAGATTTTTAGCAATTCTGGACTGATGACATTACTACCTTTCAACCTGATGACTATTTTATATATTACATAAGGTACCTTCTTTCCCCACATGCACATTCGTGGTGGTGATCATAGAGCCCGCTCCACCACGAATGGTGGTACCATTCGCCTCAATCACTGTCGCAAGTGCTTAGGATGGGTTCACCTTGCCATATATCACAAGTTTACACTCCTAACACCCTGTGATGTAATGCAGTGACATTAGTCACATTAGGCCCATCTTACAGACTATTTTACAAGAGCAGAGCTCAAGGAGACATAGAATGCTTGTCGTAGACCAGGATTTTGGCTCTTTGATGGTAGCGTTTTTTTCCCCAATCATTGGTCTGTGTTTTTGTTACACAGAACAAAGCTTCATTCTCCAATTTGTGGTCTAAAACCACCAGAGTTTAGCCCTCGCTTCTGTCCCTGGTACCTTTGAACTGTGAGGTGGGTCAAAATTCAAAGCATCTACTACTGAAATTGGCCTTCTATCTTTGTGGCCTGTGTCCCAAAATAGGCATAGCACAGCTTTCCTTGCCTGACTTTTTCTCTTGTAAGTAGAAGTCTTACAGAAGGGAGACTAGCATTTATTTCATTTAATATAACAATAAATATAACAGTGAGTAAGTTCAATGCAGCAGAGTTTCCATCAGAGTTTTGCCTGCGGGCTGTACTGTGAGTTGCAGACCAGTGGGGACTTTGGCCGAGGCTGTGAAGGAATCTGAACTGGGGTTGCTGGCTGCTTTCAAAACAGAGCCCAACCTTTCTTCAAGTGGCTGCTGAGCTTGCTGAGAGCTATTCAAGCTGCTCTTCCTCCCAGTGAAAGGCTATGGCTGCTTCCCAAGCCCCTCGGCTATCCGGCAAAGACTGTCAACCACTTTCTGCTACAGGGAATCGATTGAATGGGCTCAGAAATAAACCTTCACGGTGAGATCAGATCTCATCCCTTTTCTGCACTGTCTGGCACAAGCTTCTGTAATTAAGTATTTGTATTGAGGCAGCACCTGGGGGTCTCAAACAAGGACCCCCTTGTGCAAGGCTGCGAAGAGAAATAAAGAAATGAACCCTGGCCCTGCTGTGATTTATTTATTTGGGTTAGTGGCCTGCATGTGTAATGAGCCGAGGAGAGGGTGTTTAGTATGGAAAGCTGTCCCAGATGAATAATGTGGGGTTAATCTGGTCTCTGCAGCATATGAGGGAGAGGATGAAGCCTGGCAGAAGAACTGCATCCTTCACACCTCATCCTGGAGTCCCTGCTCAAAGACCTGTGGGCTGGGCATCTCCACCAGGATTTCCAACGACAACGACCAGTGCCGGCTCCTGAAGGAAAGCCGCCTGTGCAACATGCGGCCCTGTGAGGTGGATATAACCAAACACATTAAGGTGGGGACTGTTTCTCCGCACGCCCCTTGAGCTTTCTCTGGACATGGGGTCAGCCTTAGTTTGGCAGCCTTCAGGCCTCTGAGAGCTGCACTTCTGATCTTGGAGGCTGTTAGAGGCTACATGTGGACTCACTGTGCTGCAGAGAGGTCAAAAATGTGTGCTTCCTGTGCTTCTACACACTGGTATGAAAACCTTCCTCTGAGAGCTTTAATTCCAGCCAAAAGGCTCTGGAAAGGAAAGGCAAGCCAAGACCACTGTGTTCACTGATGGTTCAGACAGAGCTGTGGCTCAGTTAGTGGAAAAGCAATGGTGCACGCACTGCTGGTCATGGGTACGAACCGTATTTTGCAATGTAGCTTCTAGCTTCGTGTGTCCAAACATATAAATCTGTTGCACCCTCTAGACCAGGCCTGTAAAATGCTTCCTAAAGGCTTCGAATTCATTTAAATATTGGGCAGACTGTTTGCATGTCCTACCTGTGTCAGCAATGAGTATTCACCTGTCTCTTTGTCTGTTCTTCTCTGGTTTAGCCTGGAAAGAAGTGCCTGGCTGTCTACAGGGCCGATGAACCAATTAACTACACCATCTCAGGATGCGTGAGCAGACGTCCATATAGACCCAAATACTGTGGCGTCTGCACAGACAACAGGTGCTGCACACCCTACAAGTCCAAGACTATTGAAGTGAGGTTTGAGTGCCCAGATGGATCTGAGTTTTCCTGGAAAATCATGTGGATCAATGCTTGTTTTTGCAACCTGAACTGCAAGAACCCCAATGACATCTTTGCCGACTTGGCTCATTACCATGATTACTCTGAGATCGCTAATTAAATTGGCTCAATGCTAGGATTGACCCATTACTCTGATTTTACAGAGGTTTTAAAATAAAGGGAGAGTCTTTCATCCCCTGCCAATGTACAGTTTGTTTTTTCCTGAGGTAGGATTTTATGTCTTGTTTGCCACACTGGTTTTGGAGAGGCCTTGGACAAGCAGAGTTTTCGCTTCTAATAGACCTCTATCTATTAACGACAGCCAGAAGTTCCTCTATGCACAGATTCCAGGACTTAAATGACAGGCCTGTTGGCACTGCCATTTATTAGGCCAGCAGTTTAATTGCCCAAATGAAAGAATATTACACTTGTATGACAGCAAAAGTGTGGTTGTCAGTAGCTTAGACATGAGCTTCAGACTTCATTACTGTCATTTCTTGAATAATGTGATCTAAGCTGGAAAAAGATCGTTGGCCTATATATTTTATTTTCAACATTACACTTCAGTCTTAGATGTTGGTGACCCTTGGCACTAGACTCAGGTTTCTGTCACATTGAGATCAGTCCTAGAAATTCCCCCTCTGTCATTCTCAGTCATATTCCACCCCATGGTTAAATCCATGCGAAGAACCAAGGGTTTCTCTTGAAATCTCTGTTGAAGGAGTCCCTGTCTCACTGCACTAGGCCGGGTGAAAGATTCTCTGTGTCCTGCTATCTTTGCACTCACCTTGATCTCTTGGAGTATCTTGTGCCAGGGACATTTTCACAGTTTCTCTGTCAGCTCTGATCTTGAGAAAGCAGGTGTCAGGCTTCCCATCAGCTCTGCGGGTGAGTGGATGCAAAAGGAGAGGACAACGCTTGGCATAGCTTCTGGTGCATCAGTCACAACTGGGCTGCTGCTTAGAGTAAACATCAATGTAAACATTTTCTGCAGAAGTGGTTTCACATGCAAATGCCAGGTAAGAGAAGAAAAACACTGCCATTATATTTCCAGGCAACACATTAATCATGACTGAAGGACGTTGGAGCCAGTTTTTTCTCCAGTAACTTGTTAGTACAGCACCCATGCACCATGGCACGTTCGCAGTGGCTTCACTTGGGAGAGCAGAAATGTGTTTCTGCATGAGGAACTGTAGTATTTGCTTCCAAAATCCCTGGTAGCACAGCAGAACTGCTGAGTGACACAATGTCTGGAGATCGGGCCAGTACAGGGCTGAAATTCAGATGATGCAACTGTTTTAAATCAGCCACTTCTTTTGCTCTAGTTTCAGTTGGCAAGTTGTCTATCTTCATCTTGATTAACCCAGAGGAAGCGAGATTAGTTCCCCAGAGACATGAATCTTTCTGGCTACAATAAATTAAATTTTCCTGTGAGCAGGCTGAAAATAATGCAATCCCTATGTGAAAACATCTAGGGCACATGCATCATCAAAAGCTGTTAACTTCAATGACATCTTTGTTTTCGTAAAACGATTTGGCCCCTAAATTTTTCATAGAGCTAGGTCATTCCTTAATGCAAAGCTTTTACTATTTCTCTTTTGAAGCTTCCCTGAGATGTCCAGTGGCAGAAAAGAAGGGTGATTCATGTCTGCATGTTCCAGTGCAGGTGCAAATCACCTCTCCTGTTTGTTCTTCTGGTGAGAAGGAACCTGAGAACACCAGCACTTTGCAAGATTCAGCCTCACAACTGCCTTTGGCCTGGATGATGTGACAGGAGAGGTCACATCTGACCTATTCACCTCAACCCAAATGGGAGCTCAGCACTTGCAAGACTGAGAATGCTAAATTTTAAACTCCATCACTTGGTAAAAAAGGAACATGGGGACATAAGAAAAAGAGGGCTTTGCCAAGAAGTTAACAAAGGTTTTCCAAAAGGAAAAATGGTTTGTACTGAGGCACATGGTAGGGAAGCCGTGATAGGATCTCTTTCTCAATAAAATGCCTTAAGTATGACTTGGAATCCTGTGTTCTAGTTCTGGCCCATCTTAAAATGACATCTATATATGTGTGTGTACACACACATTTCTGTGTGTATATCTATACCTATGTACAAGTACATATATATGTGCACATGCACACATAGAAAAGATTATGTGCAGGCAGTTATATTTTATATAAAAACATATACAAACATGTTCATGAATATTTATGTTAATATTTGCATATATGTATTCCCATGGTGCAGTCTGTGGTGCATAAAATAGAGTGTGTATATAATGTGCGTTTATACGTATAATCAGTCTTTCTCTGTCTTACATGTAAATATAAGGAAACAAGAAAACAGGATCAAAAGACATACCCAAAACTGTGGCACTTAATAGGTTTGCTTTGCTTTGCAGTTAGCTAACGCTGTAACCCCACAATCAAATGCCGCCATGGCTGAAACACACAGCTTTCAGTGCGAGGTAAAAGAAGCTATTGTAAGCTAATGCATGACCAGCAGCTCCAGTGTTGGTTTTCAGTGAAGTGAATGCCTGGAAACCACAGATCTCACCCAGTGCACCCGAGATGTTTCTGTTTCTAGCCTGGTTTCCTAAGGGAACAAGGCGCATGCAACCACGCCGCCCATTTGTTTGTCTGTCAATCAGTGCCTTTGTGGGAAATGTCAAACAAAGTAGGCAGAAGTGTAAAGATCTTAGAAACATTGTGATTCCTGAAATAAAAAATGAAATAAAATAGCAGGAGGGGGGAGAGGCCCAGCACGCTGCTCCTACCAAGCCCAGGCACATCTGCCATGCAGCCTACACATCTGCAGCATGGCCCAACCACAACAGCAGCATTAAGGGATTTTGAACGGATGCACCGGTTGGAAACCAGCAGCAGTGGAGGAGGGAGAGCTGAAGGCGTTACGGGCGGGGAATGGTGGCTATTACACTGCTGTAAAGGTGTTTCTGGGGACATTGGACACAAATCTGTAGGAAAGCAAGCCTCATTAGCTCTGCTGCTTGCGCAACTGTTTGTCTGTTCGGTGACACTGAAAGGGGAAGAGTAACACTTGTTGCCAGTGAATTTGACTTGCAGTTTATGGTGCATTAGAGAGCCTTTGTTTTAATGGATGTTTACAAGAAGATTAGCTCTTGGGCTAAGGCTACGGACTAGCCTTTAGATTCAGTCCCCTTGCTCCCTGTGTGCTTGGGCAAATCATGCATCTTTACAAAAGTACTTTTGTGGTTACTGTTTAAATACACTGAGGAGCCAGATCCTCAAAGGCTTTCACAGATCCAGCCCTTTGCTTTGCTTTTCCTCAGTTCTTCAGAGCCAGAACAACAGAGCCCTACTGTTCATCGCCTTTGTTGAGAGCGAAAACTCCTCCAGCAGGAACTGATGCTCACTGTACGTTTGTACAGTGACTCGTACAATGGGCCCAGGTCTCTGCTGGGACCTGAAAGTGGTACCATCATCCAAGAGAGCAACAATAATACCATTGAGGAGATATGAGGCTCCGAGCTGGTGCTAGACCCTTCTGGTGCAGCGGTACAGGGAAAGGCTTGAGAAAGGATGGGAGTAACAATTCTGTCATCCAGGCAAAGCTGAGACAGTTTGACACACACCCTGTTCATGCAAATCATCCTACTGGCCTCGTAGGCTGGGACAAGGATGGTGGATGGGATTTTGAGGGTCAGCTCATGCTGATATGAATGGCAGGCTCCAGTGACCATAGCCATTAGCCTTCTGTAGGGACTTTACCAGAGTCAGTACGTGGCTCAGGCTGCCTCATTTGGGACCCCCACAGAGCAGGTCATCCGCTCACTGCAGGATGAAAAGAAACAAGCAGGTAACTCGTAAAGATGCCTTTGCAGGGAGCACTGACTAGTATTTAAAACACCTTTTCCATGTGCATGCAACTGGAAACAGGGTGTAGTGCAGTTGCTTTATTTTTGATGTGCTCACTAGGATTGTGCTGTGTATATGCAATACTCCAGGAAGACCATGATGTTCAGAAACACTGTTTCATCTTTTAAATTAAACCCTGAGATGTTTTTTCTCTCAGTTTTTAGGAGGAGTTTTAAGATGAGCAGTTTCTTAAACTGATGGAGACACAGTGCTCTCATTAACTACAGGCACATATCCATACACATACTTTTTCAAACTGTGACTTTCCAATTTAAACAGTTCTACAGAGTTATTTCTGTAAGCTTCATATGCTGAAATAGATGAAAATTTAATCGGAAAAACAGATTGTTTTGGCAGTGTCAGTCTGAGTTACTCCAGCTATGTAACACGTATTACTTGTTTATATAGCATCATGGTGAGGCTTTATAGGTGGCATGTTGCTGCTATGTTTTAAAGATATTAAATAACCTCCTAAGTGATAAACGATTAATGAACCTATGACTGACACCTCATTTAGAAGCTTAGGCAAGCAAAAGAATGTGAAATATCTTTGCCACTGACATTTCTTTCTCTTTTCCAATCTCCTTGCCTGGCCAACGTCCAAGTGTACGTTTGCAATCTGTGACAAGCCCTGAATTGGAGGACACATAAAAATAAAGAGCCAGTAATGTGATAAAAAAAGGTTGCTCTGAGAGCATTTCCTTGAGTGTGAATATTCTGGCAGCTTGGGAAAGCCAGGTGTTCCCCATATCACATGTCTTTGTGTGCTGGTTTGGGGTTTTTTTTTTGTTCTCCCAGCACTCTTACTGGACTTGCGACAGCCTGTCTAGTGTCTTTGAGCAAAGTGGAGTGTGTTACTCAACCTGCATAAGCATGTGCTCTTTATCAGCTCTCTTGAGAGGTTGCAGGAGTAACCTGTTTGCAGCAGCCATAGACAGAAATTGTTCAACCAAGGGTATTGAAGACATGGGGAAAAGCATTTGAATTAAAGAATCATTATTCCATATCCCTGAATTTACACATCCTCAGAGCTAACCCCAGTAAGGATTCTACCATTTAATTCTAGAAAAAAATACTTGGAGAGTTTTCCGACAAATCAAGTTTGTCTTCCAGCCTGAAATAGGTTACCTACCTCAGTAGGAACAGGAACACTTTGAGTGGCCTCCTGCCCTGCATAGTGATGGGTCTGTGTTGGGCTTGTTTATGGCTACTTGGGCATTAGGTGAGAAAGCACCCCCTCCTCAGCCTTCTCCTCCAGTGTGCTTTTTTTTGACCAGGAAATAAAAGTCTGCAGTT